CCGCGTTCCGCGCAGCCCTCCGCGGCCAGCACCAGGCTGCACATGCCTGTGTGTTCACACCACATGCCATCCCGGACCCAGCACTGCGCCTCGGGAGAGAGCAAGCCTGACAGCGCCCAGGGGCCAGCCTCCACTGAGGTAGCATTGGAGGAAGCGGGAGAGCAAGACACGGGGTGCAGCCACAGCAAGACAATCCAGGGTCGCAACTGCCATGCGGCTAATCCCCCGGTGATGAGACCCTGGAGTGACTAATTTAGGCCGGATCCTCAGGAGAAGGACTTCTCAGAGGAGTAATTACTTTACTCTAAGTGACAAGAAAGTGCCTCCCATCCAAAACCAGCAGCTCATGGTCAGCTGGAGGGGCAGAGTGGCCATCAGGGAAGGCAGGCCCTCTGCGAAGTGTCATGTCTCAATCCCATGTCTCCTCCCAAACCTAATCTGAAGGAGCTAAAACCAATGGATCTGCATGAGGCCTGGCAAGAAGCCAGCACCGCGGCCCTGCCTGCAGGTCCCCGGAGGCCCAGGCCCCACGTGAGCTGCGCATGGAGAGAAGAAGCTCCGGGAGTGTAACGCTGGTACCAACTGAACTGTCACCAATCTCACCTAGTAACAGGACAGCACTGCTCCAGTGGAACAGGGCCCTGCAAGATGATGGGGGCGGGGAGGAGGCTTGGGAGGTGCCGGGCATCACAGCCTCACGAGGTGAGTTCACTCAGCCAGGAGCACACCCAGCCCTCCCTTCCCTGCACACGTGCTTCAGGGCCTTCATAATTGGTCGTGGCAGCCCAGCAACTGCGCACTGAGCACAGGACACTAGCACACAGGGAAAGGAAAGGGGAGATCTGAAGAAAGAAATCACAGCTGGAGACGGCGGTAGAGAAAAAGAAAGCATTTGGAAACATCAAACGTAGAGTAAATGACAGATTTTTAACTATGATTTCTGCCAGTTTGCCTGATGCAAAGCAAAACCGGGGGAATTTTAGTAGTCTTGGAAATACCTTATTCGATATTTGCTTCATTATGACACTTATTTAATGTATCATATGATCATTAAAATTTAGTTCCTATAAAAGATAATCATGTTTATGATAAGAATTTAGAGTTGTAGAAATACAAAGTTTGGGAAAACTAAGTAGAAATAAACATAAAGAATACACTTTAGGGGTGGCCAAATAGCTCAGTGGATTAAAGCGCCTGCAAGCAGGCACAGGAGCCAGGGGTTTGATCCCTGGGACTGCCGTGCCGGCTCCAACCCCAGGGTGTGCTGAGATGACCATTGAGACTGGTGGTGCGCACCTGTAATCTCAGCTCTTAGGCGGCTGTAAACAGGAGGATCACTATGAGTGCAATCTAGTAGTGGGACCCTGAACACACTGTAGAACCTTCCTTAAAATACAAAA